CTTGCTTTCCTATCCCCTTGGGGACTCCTTGCCCGTCACCAGAAACCCCGTTTTCCGCAACAGAAGGATTTTTGGTAAATTTTAACATCTCCCCCGTTCACAGCGAACGACCCATTCCGGTCCCGGGGGAGATGGGGAGGAGGGGGCAGAGTGGCCCAAAGGGAAGTTTGGTAACTGGGGGGGGGGGGAAACAACCCCAAACCCCTCTTTATTTCCCCCGGCCAGCATATGACGGCTCCATTAGAAAATAAAGAGGGGTTTGGGGTTGTTTCCCCCCCCCCCCAGTTACCAAACTTCCCTTTGGGCCACTCTGCCCCCTCCTCCCCATCTCCCCCGGGACCGGAATGGGTCGTTCGCTGTGAACGGGGGAGATGTTAAAATTTACCAAAAATCCTTCTGTTGCGGAAAACGGGGTTTCTGGTGACGGGCAAGGAGTCCCCAAGGGGATAGGAAAGCAAGGCTTTACGCCGTCATTTAATAGCTGTCTTTGAAACTCGTGGCCTTGTACAATTAATCACACCGTTATTTCCAAAGGTTGACTGCCGTCTGGGAGGTAAAATGCTCTTTTTGTACTTACTGCTATGTTGGTCGTACAAAGATGACATGGTTCAGCATTTCCACCTACAGCCCCAGAACATTAAAACGTTCAGAATCGATAGCTCTTGAATAGGCAACAGGCAATATTAAAATATCTTTGCTCCTCCAGATCTCTCTGACAAAGGATTTGGGAACTGCCTCTTATCTCTTTCTTGCACCATTTTCTTACCTAGGTCTGTTTTCTGTTTACAAGCCTGAAGATGGCTGCTGCTGCTTCTTCCTGCAATGTGGAAGAAGATGAGAGCCTGAAGGGATGTGAACTCTATGTTCAGAAGCACAACATCCAGCAGATTTTGAAAGAGTGCATTGTAAACCTTTGCATAGCAAAGCCAGACCGACCCATGAAGTTCCTCAGAGAACACTTTGAAAAATTAGAAAAGGTCAGTGATTTCCAGGTGACTTACAATTTTCGATTTTTAAAATGAAAAAGGTTGTTTAAAAAGTTTCAAATATTTTGGTACATATTTCCTTTTAAATTTCAAATTATCGGGCTACTGTTAAAAAACAGGCTGGTAGAAGAAAAAACCCAAGCCTTTATTTGCTGGTCTACTATAATATTGGCTATTGTATAGAATTTTTTGTGCGTAACACCAAAATTATAGTTTCTCATCGAACTGTACTTGTTAAAAATGACCCAAAATGTTACGAGCATACTTTGTGTTATGTTACATGGTGTCCTGAGCTCTGATCTATGGCAAGAACCTGCCTGCAAGAGCAAAAGATGCTGTTCCCTCTTTATTCCAGTGCCAGGTGATGTGGTTTTACCGTCCCCTAAAACTGAACAAAATCAGGGAACCAGCAAGTTCTGAAAATCATTGAACACTTTGCCATTTGATTACGCTGCTCTCGCCCATCTGCATTGCTTATCCCAGGATCCTCCAAGAGAGACTTCACATACTGTGACTGTCTTCAAAAGCAGCGTAGAGGCAGAAACAGTTTAAAACATTCTCAGACAAATTCTTACTAAAGCCTATGGATGCCTTTTGCAGGAATGGCATGTTGTGTGAGCACAACTTTTCTCTGGGGATGGGGTTTCTCCAGAAATAAATGGGAGCACAGGGCTGCAAGTTGTTGGTTAGTCCTCAGTCTGCCAGAGACTTTATTTGTATACTTAGTTTAAGAAGAGGATTATTCACTTTTTTGGAAGGATATGTCGGAAGTTTGTAGGCTTCAGATACTGGTTTTATGTAGGTTTTTCCTTCTAGAGACAGAATTTTGTAAGGACAGAGCAAGAACAATGATAACTAGTGAATAATACATAGAGCTGATATATTACAGGTGATACAAACATTTTATACATCTCATTGTCTGCTTTTCTGATAAATTTTTGTATAGGTGAGTATATGCCAAATTTGTGTAGCTTTACAAAAATGCAAATCTTGCATTTTGGTGGAAGCCCAGTAAGAGTGTCTGGAACATCAGGAATGGGTAGGAAGTACAAGACGTTTTTTAATTGTAATGCTTGTTATTTAAAAAAAAAATAATCTTAGTTCTGCATATTCTAAACTTCTGAGAGCCAAGACCCATTTTGAGAGAGTGAAATCTCTTGAATTTCCTTTACCGTGTTATGAATTATCATCTGTGTTAATGTGTGCAACTCTGGACTTCCTGGCAAGAAGGATAAAGACCATTTTTGCAAAAAATGTTAAAATATGCTGTAGTATTTTAGGCTATTCTCCATAGCTAGTGGGATTACTTGAGGAGTTCTATTGGGGAGTTTGGCTTTATTGATCTAAACACAGTACACAGAATTGAGACAGGAAGTCAGTTCCTACCCTTGAGAAATTATATATTCTTTCATGTAATCTCCTGTTATTTCCCAGAGAACAGCAGATACCAGAATCCTGTAGTAGGGTATAGATCAGGATGCAAACACAGAAGCTGGTGGATATCACTTGTCTCAAAATGAAAGGAGATGATTTAGAATCAACCAGTCTCAAGGCATCAAATTCAGCGAATATCATGCTTAGTACAGAAGGAAAAAATCTTGCCACTGACTATGTAGAGCAGTCTGGAAGCTAAGCCTGTGGAGTCTAAGGGCTTTAGGATGCTTCTGGAGATTTCCAGCACTGTAGTTCTTGTTCCTACAGCAGTTTGACTTCTTTGCCCAGGCATCTCCAAGGCCTATCTTGATATGAATTGCACTGTGGAGGATTTTCTGCTGTAGGGTAGTATTTTGACTTGATCGGTTGCATACTAACAGTTGAAGGAAGGCTTGTAAAGATAAAGAAATCATTTCAATAAGTTCTATCCTGTTTTTAGAAGACATTTGTCATATGTAAGTACTTTGAAGAATCTTAATGGAATTGTGAATTTAGCAATTGCCTGTTAGATTTTTGTATGTGAATAAGCAATACACTGATATGGCACGTTTGCTATTAGCTCCTTTAATCTTTGTCTTGTGCAGGGAGAGGAGTGAAAATCTTTGCGTTTAAGCACGATTTTCTAAACAAAGTCATGCATTTTTCCACCAAAGTGTGGTATTTTGGTTTTTTTTTCCAAACTCATTAAAATAGACAACACGTTCCACTGAAGTAGAATAACAGTTTATCTGTCAAAAAATCATGTGGGCAGTTTAGAGATAAAGTGTGGGATATTTTTCAAGGGGTTAAAAAAGGAGCTTATGGAAAATGTGTAGAGCTCGATCCACATCAATGTACTGGAGCTACCTCAAAGGTGAATACAAAAATAAAGTTTATTTCGTTTTGCTAATTCTTAACTACATCTCATAAAATCAACTCAGAAGTGAAAGATTTATTATCATATGCAAGATCAGACCAGATCATAAATGCTTTTCACCTTAATTCTGATGACATCAGAGTTAGGTCCATTGCCTTCAGCCTACATCTGTACTGCTAAATGAAAAAGGGCCAGGGGCTAACCCCTGACCCCACGACACTAACTGGCCCAAATATAATTCTTAGGTCTAACACGTCTAGGAGCAGGTTTGTTTTGGCAGGAGTCAGTAAGAGCGGCTCAGAACAGAGCCAGGGAATGAGCTAATAGTTGAGGGATGTGGACTCTCTTGGGCTAGTATTCATGTCCATGGCTGGGCCATTTTTTATTTCACAGTATAGACACGGCCTGAGAGGGCTGTAAAGTGAGAACATGAATAAATAATTAGGAAGAAAGTGCTGGAGATTGAGGTTTGACATTTGATTCTGTAGTCATCATTTTCATCTGGAGAAGTGCCAAGGTTAGAAAGAAAAGCCTGATGACTTTTTAAGTTTGCAGCTTATTTATGTCAAGTATAGTATTAAAAAACGTAACTATGAAAATAATTGTAGATATGTTTCTGTTCACTTAGTATTGACAGGACCTGCTTGTCTTAAGATGCCCATAATTGCTGGGAATCAGCCTAAGTTTCTATATTCTGAAGGTTGCAAGTCAGTTTTCATATGCTGTGACCTACGAACTTCAAGGTGACATGTACTCTGATTATGTTAACAGTTACTTTGTAAAAATCTCTTAACATTCCATGCAGGACAGAAAAGATTTGAAATCAGTTTAGATACCTGAGATTTTAAAAAAATATGTAAAGTTCTCTTTTGAATAATTTGTTTTACATTTCCCTGTGACTGTATAGAACACTTTGTTGGTGGATGGGGTGAGGAAAACCTTTCCCTTAGGGGTATTAACTGGGTTTTTTAGAGCAGGGGAATAGATGTTAGCTAAGAAACTCTGGCACTATTTTAATAGCTGTAATTAGGTCCTGTTTACTTGAGGACTAAAGAAGGCATAGCAGAAAAGACAGGGAACCCATCTTTTATCTCCAGTTCTTACCTTATGTAAAAAAGTTAATTACTAAGAAGTTACAGGCAAAGCCTTGTATTTTCAGCTATACTGAGACTGCAAAACTTTCATTAGTGTCAGGCTGTTTAGTGCTGTGATTATATGATCAAAGGTGGAGTTGTCTTGCCAGGCTAAGCTAGACTGTTGTTCAGCGGAAAAAAAAATTGTTATAAAGAGTAGAACTAATGAAGAAAATGACGCAGAAGAAGGGGAAGCAGCAGGAACCTGCAGGATATTTTCAGGCATTACCAAGTAGTTTGCTGAAGCCATTTTGCATGCAGTGTGTTTCAGAGCAGTGGCTTTGCTGGCTGAGCAAGGTGGTCTTTGCTGATCCCTTCCTGACCTGAGGTCTCTCCTGGTCTGTTCTATTGCCCTGCGCACATACAAGAAATACTCTCTTGCACATACTGAACTTACTGTCTTGGATTCCTGTGGATTGGCAGTGGTTTTATGGACCCAGGCTGATGCTGCATGTCTCCAGGTACCATCCAAAATGAGAGTTTTAGGAAAACCTGGACTATAACCTCTGTAATTAAATCAAGGAAAATGACATTATCTGCGTAGCTCCACCTGGTGATGTTAGACAGTATTGCACGCAGACCTGGTCAGAAAAATAAATGCATTTGTGTGACAGGTTTGCTGTAAACTAGCACTGAAAAAGAAGTGTGTAGTAAACTACAAATTCATTCACTGTTGGTAAAATAGAGTTTATTTATTTATCATAAAGAGTTTCAGAACCAAAGGTATTTGAGCATCAAAATTTGAACATCAGGCTTTTCTACTGCAACAGTAGTCTCTCCCAGTATTACATTTTGTCACAACAAGAAATTTTTCAGTCAAGAGTTTCTGCCAGAACCTGTCCAAAACAATTAAATTCATTCTTATAAGTACAGGTGATTATGTGAAGTATAACTCCTTTGTTTAAAAGAAGCTGAGGAGAGATTATGGATTGGAAGGAAAATCCTACAGAGGAAAAACTATCGAAAAAATGCATTAACTAAGCAGTTTGATAAAGACTAATACAACAAATATTTCTGTATCTTTCAAAGCTTGCAAAGCAGTCAAGCGGTATCTGCTCGGTGGTCAGAAATTTTGCTAAAGCATGTGGGAACATACCTGAGCTCACTAAGACGCTGATAGCAATGCAGTGATGGGAGCACCGGTGCCCTTGCTGTGTGAGTCTAGTTCCGAGTAGGCTTGGGCAGCCTCTGCTCCTGCCTCTGATACCAGTACTGGAGAGAGCTGGATGAAAATCAGCTCATGTTGGACTTCTGTCATTGCCATAGTCAGCCACAGGCAGTGTTATAAGAGGTGACAGTTTTCTTGGAACAGGTAAAGGAAAAACGAGGTGAATTTTTAAAACTCCTCAGGCAAGCTTTCCTAAATGCAGGAGGTTTAGGGAAGGGTGGAGGGTGAAGGGGATAAGAGCAGAAAGAGAAAAAAAGCTTTTTCCTAAGAAATAAAATTGGTTATAAGTGAAGCTGTGCTTTTACCAGCTAGTGCAGAACACCTTAGAGCATTGCTGAGCTCCCTGGTTACTTTGTACGTCTACAAGTGTGAGATGCTTTCCTGTTCACAGAGTCAAAAA